CGCCAGCTCAGAAGGTTAACTCAGCCCAGGAGGTCAGACTAGACGAACAGAACTCGGAAGAGTAGAGCTGAAGGTCCCTTCGAGATAAGTAAGGGCAATAACAACTAAGGCAACAACTGGAAGATCACGAGAGGTTCCTAAAAGCGTTAGGAAGCAATAATCGAGGCGCCTAATCGCAACCAACCAAGATCTTCTCCTATAATCAAGGAGAACCCCACGAAATAAGGGCAAGAATCTCGGTTAAAATCCCACTGAATATGGAACAGTCCTATAAATACTATGTAACGCCCCCAAGGAACGAGAGGAACCCTAGAGACAAAAACTAATCATTGTACTCTTGCAATTATCATTATAGAAAGACAAGTAGCAAGAGTTTCCATTAAAGAGTGGATTAACCGAGCTCCCAAGCTGGTGAACCATTATATTCATATTGTGTTAATTCCCCAATTCCCCGACAATTCTCAATATCATTCATTCGAGTCTAGTATATCAGATCTCAACAATTCCAATATTATTTTCTTTCATTTACTCGCCATCACAAATTCTCATCACGTTGAAATACACCATCACTAATAAAATTAAAAATGGACTTATCTCCAAACAAGTTTCCATGACGGTCTCAAGTTATTATAAGTCCATCTAAAAAGACTCAGCCCTAATTTTCACAAAATAAAATGACCATTGCACCCTGTATAACAAAAAATATAATCCAATCCCATACTGCATTTGGATGACTACGGTGAGTAAGATTGGTTTGGATGAGTAGTTTTTGGAAACAATTTCGTAATTTTATAATGAAGGATGAAAATTAAATTGTACTTAATTAAAGAAGTAAATTTTGATTTAGTATAATCATTTTAATAATTTAATATTATTTATTCCGTTTTTTAACAACACAAGATTGAATAATTTTTCTTTTTTATTTTTACAATTATTGGAATCTCTGTTGTTCCTTTGGAATCGGTGGCAACTTCATAATTATTTTCTTAAATTTTGTTACTTGAATCAAATACAAAAACTCAAGACTTTCTATCTTCATTCAGTTGTACATATATAGTAAAATCATAAGAATCAAGGAGACATTGAGAGAGAGAGGAGGGGGAGAGAGAACCAAAACAAATAAAATAAAATAGTAAATAAATTATTTAACGATAAAAAAAAAATTTGTGGCCAACACCAGAAAAGGCCTAGACGTCAGAGATATATATTACAGAGTGAGAGTTGGGGGGGTGGGGGACCTAGTAATTTAACCCTAACTATTAACTGTTTAAGGGCAGAAGGGTAAAATCACCATTAATCTTGTTTGTAGGAATATCCATGTAGATAAATCCCACACGACCGGTGGGTTTAAAGAATGGAACTTCCAACCTCGCAAAAAATTTAATAGGATAAAAATATATTTTTTAAAATAATTGGGATAGAAATATATATACTAAAAAAAAGTTATAAAAATCCTTTTACCCCTATCATAAATTGTGCATACCTAATTGAATGTGAGACTTTCAAGAATTTTTTTGATATTTGTGTATCATTTGAATTTTAAAATTTCATATATATATATATATATATACACACACACACGTGTGTGTGTGTGTATATATAAAATTTCAAAATTTAAATGATACACAAATATTAAAAGGAATCTTAAAAGTCTCACATTCAAGTAGGTATGCATTATTTATGATAGGGATAATTATAAAATACATTTTAGAAAGAATTTAAAATTTTTTAAAATGTGTATTTATTGATAACTATTTGATGAAAAAGATGACTTAAAAGAGGATAAGTTTAAAGAAAGTACTTAAAGTCAAATAAATTTTAAAAAAAGTATTCACATTTCATTAACTCTTAAAGAAAGGGAATTCGGTTCAGACGGGGTAAACCCCTTCAATTACTACGGGCTGCCGAACATGTATCTTATCAATTTTTTTGGATTCAAACTTTTTTGGACTATTTAAACCCAACCCATATGTCATATCCACCTTTATCCATCAAACCGAACACCTCCATTATCTGATGGCATATAGATATAGTATATACATATAAAGAGGGGCGAATCAATGCTTTTTTAAGTTTAAAATGACAATTATAATGAGGCTTTTTTGTTTTTAATATTAATAAAAAAATTTATTCATAGTCTATTCTTTTCACTTTTTGAGATTCAAATGTATTGAGTTAATTCAATTTTTGATCCCTTATCATTTTGACAGTTATATGAAAACAGAACAATAATATTATACGTTGTTATAGTGACATTACACGGATAATATTATTTGATAATTACACGGATAATATTATTTAAATTGTTGATATACTAGAATATATCAAACCATTGATAAAAATGGAACACTAGAATACTAGAATATATCAAACCATTGATATGCTAGAATACAAGGATAATATTATTTAATAATAAATTTAACAATTATATGAAAACAGAATAATAATATTATACGTTGTTATAGTGACATTACATGGATAATATTATTTGACATTACACAGTTTATATTATTTAAATTGTTGATATACTAGAATATATCAAACAATTGATAAAAAACAAAAAATTTGAATTGACACAAAATCTTTTCGCAAACTACAATAAAACATGGTAAGAGGTGTATGTTCACGAGTAGAACACACTTAAAAAAAAAAAAACATTGTGATTGTTTTAATTTCAAAAAAAAATCTGCTAGTAAACAAAAGAAAAAAAAGGAGGCAAAACAATGCTCAATGTTATATACTATTGTTGAAGTTTCCATTTGTGTGTCAATTCTTAGACTGTCGACAAAGAACAACAAACGGTGACGTAAAAAAGAAAATTGAAATTTATAGCAGTTGTTGAAGTATAATAATATGATATTTGTTTAAAATTCAAATATGTTGATCTATTAAAATAGGAAACTCTTAATATAATAAAACAAATCCCACAAAAAAAGGACTGCCAAATTAAACAGTACATATATTTTTCTCTCAATTAAGTAGTTTAGAAGGTACCTAGTCACAATTTTTTGATAAAAATTCTGATTTGGGTTTAACCTTGACTTTTTGTGGACCTCATATTTTTTATGGAGTCAATTTTTTGTTTGGACTATTACTAAACACATACAAATACAAAAAAAAAAGTAATATTAATATTCAAATACAAAAAAAGTTATCATTTAAACACAAAAAAATAGTAACATTTAAAATTAAAAAATTGTAACATTTAATATTAATATTTTTTAAAAATAACAATAGTAGCATATTCAACAAAAATAGTAACATGTTCAAACAAAAAATAGCAATATGAAATATTGAACAAAATTGAAAATAAAAATATTAACATTCAAACCCATAACTAGAGGAAGAAGTCTCAAATTCTTCAGCATCCAAAAAGATAATACTAAAAAAGTAATAAAAAATAGTAACATGATCAATTATAAAAAAAATAGTAACATGGTCAATAAAAACGTAATAACATGAAACATTGAAAAATTTTGGGGATTATTTATCAAAAAAAATAAAACTAAAACTGAGAATCAAACTAATAACACATTGAACAAGTTTTTCAACATTTTTTTTGAAAAACCAATGACATAGACATTTATGATGATCAGAACACAATAGAAGATGTGATAGTTGTTGATGATGTTCCAAAATTTTAATGCTATAGATGAAGAAATGATATATAAGAAGAAAGATTTGTTGTACTGGAGTGATGATCTTTTTCTAGAGAGAGAGAATATAAATTTTAATTTTAATTTATGAGTGAATTAATGGATAATAATTTCTAATTTAAGAAAATAATTTAAAGCTACTTTCAAGGTTTTATAATTGAACAGAATACCACTGATAAGGGTATTTTTGGGATTTAAAAAAATAATGGACTTAAGCACTTATTAATAAGATAAAAAACAAACTTATTACCAAATAAGTTTCTTTGACGGACTCAAGTCATTATAAGTCCATCCAGGAGGACTCATATATAATTTTCACTTCTTTTGTAGTTCAATGACCATTAACTAAAGGGTTCTTTGGAAGTCAGTACACCTAATTAGACTTATTTGACAAAAAGTACATAGAACAAAATATTTTTTAAAAAAAAAGAACACAGTTGAGATACAAATACGTAAATGCTCATTTTAAGGTCATTTAATTCAAAATCTCTTATCTTTAATTCAAAATCTCTTATATATATATCTGTAGTTTTGTGCATGTGGTAACAAATTTAAAACGAAGATGGACTATTTTGAATGAAATTATATGTTTGATAAAATGTAATAATACAATATTATATGAATCAAGGTGCATTAAATATAATTTGAAAACAAAATCGCTTTCCAAAAAAAAAAAAAATACACATGAATCAAGGTGCATTAATATATATATATTAAAGTTTTTCCATAAAACTAGGAGATATTTAATACACCACTTTCCAAAGAAAAAACACATGGATTAATGGAGGGCAAAAATGTCACAAAAAATAGTAAAATTCAAATAATGTACTTTGATACAAATAAGTATCAAAATTAAGGACTTAATTACCCAATATTTTTTTTGTGTACTTTTTTACAATTAAGTCTAATTTTGTGTACCTCCTTCTAATTTTCCCTTAAAAGTGTTTTTTTTTTTAAACAGAAACTGACAATGTTATCAAATGAATCCCAAATTATTTAGTTGCTAATGTTTGGTCCCTCTATTAACTTATTTTACAAGATTACTTAAAAGTATATAATCTCACTAATGCAACTAATAATACAAGTTTAAAACACACACAAACCATCAATTGCATAACTATTTTATATCCCAATCACATATACTTTCTACATGACAAATCTATATGATTTTTCTAGTCACTTCCATTCCTATTCTCCTATATAGAAACCACACTTGGGTATATAGTGATTAAGCATATATAGCATACAAAAAGGGCCGGAGGCATTGACTTTTATTACAATTTATTCATTACCATTACAATATTTTTGGGTAAAACCATCTCAAAAGAACATGATCACTAATCTTCAAGAATCAATAACAAAGGCTTTGGGCACACGAACAGGAAATTCATCAATCTCATCCATCCAGGGATTCTTCTCTTTAGCCGGATTAATTGTCCTTAACGCGCGCCAAACAACACTGTTACATTTGAAACCCGATCCAAATCCAATTTGCCAAGTGCGATCACCCTTCTTGATCCTCCCTTTGGCCTCAGTATAGGCAAGTTCGTACCACAATGAACTGCTAGAAGTGTTGCCAAACCTGTAGAGAGTCATTCTTGAAGGCTCCATGTGCCATGGAGTTAGGTTAAGGTTCTTCTCTACCTCATCCAACACTCCTCTTCCTCCAGCATGAATGCAAAAATGCTCGAAAGCAAATTTGAAATCTGGAATATATGGCTTGATCTTAATTTTAAAGATCTTTCTTGCCACTAAGACGGCGAAAAATAGGATTTGCTCAGACATGGGAAGAACTAATGGCCCGAGTGTTGTAATATTTGCTTTTAATGCCTCTCCAGCAACAACCATCAAGTCTTTTGAAAGAGCAATGCCAAGTCGCATGCTATCGTCCTCTTCTAGGGACACACATCCATAACACTTATCATCTGCACCCTTGTGCGTTCGTACAGTGTGGACGAGTTGGTATTTTGATCGGAGGCGATCGCACGGTCTGTTAGACAATAATATTGCAGCCCCACCACATCGAAAAAGGCAGTTTGAGACGAGCATTGGCCGGTTGTTACCAACGTAGAAATTCAGAGTCATAACTTCTAAGCTCACCACTAGGGCATAGGAGTTGGGGTGCACCTGTTACATTTATAAAATGGAAGGGTAGACTTGAAATATATTTCTATATGTGCTCTTAAAGAGCGATTTTTTAATGAATGCACACAGGGCATTTTCGGCATTTGAGTTTGGATGGGATTTAAAGGGTTGATTTTGTGAAAATAGTTTAATGTATCTTCTAAACTCGTGTTTGGTTCAAGATTTGAGGTTCGAAATTTATAAAGTAAATGAATTCCGGCCCACAATAAATAATGGATTAAAACCCACAAGTGGGGGGTTGATGAAACCACATGGGGTTTTTTAAAAAGTGAGTTTGAATATGAAAACAAAATGGCAATACTATTAGGACAAAATTTGAGGACATAATGCATTTTGACAAATAGAGTGATAGTAGTGTACATTTAATATTGCAGTGGATCCCATCATTAAATGCATTCCACTATCATCTATTGGTTACAATTCATTATATCCCTCACTTATGTCCCAATAACATTAGTGAATTGAATAATATGATTTGACATTAATCTATGGACTCCACATGTATTTAAGTCACTTACCAAACATGAGATTGAATATGATATGTGTTTGAATCCCATGTACAAATCCTTGTGGCTGAGTTTGAGGAAAAAATATTGGGTGTAATGGTGACACCAACGTCACCGTTGTCACGTGGTGTCACCATCTTGTAAGTGGACACCAACGTCACTCTTATGCCCAATATTTTCTCGGGTTTGAGAAGGCAATCTAATTGCCAAAAATAAAATAAAAATCCAAACGGATACAGACAAATGACATTAGCCATAGATACATGCAAATGACAATAACTCATAAAAGTCTGGCAGCACAATCTCAATTAACAATTTTTTTTTTAAAAAAAAAAGTAGAATTAAGATAGCAAACCAACCTGCAAAATATTATTGGCAAGGTCTATAGATATTACTCCTGCACTGCAGCCCATGCCACTAAGATTGTAGCTCAAAATACTGCTCCTAAGCTTGTAATGGTTCACAACCATGGCTGAAAGCGATGGCATAGGACTGAATAGACTGCAATTCACCACAAGAATTCCAATATCTTGAGTCTTGACACCCGTTTTCGCCAACAGATCGTCGATGGCTCCGAACATCACCATCTCTGCCTCCATCCTAGCCTCCATCAACGATCGGTTCATTGGGATTTTCATAATACCTGGCGGTAAATATGTCTTTTGTCCGAACCCCGACTTCTCCAAAATTTTCCTCTTAAAGACCAAACTCTCTTCAGTGAAGGAACCAACTAGTCTACATCTCTCAATCGCAACCTCCCTACTACACATTAAAGCCGAGTTCGGCTTAAAACATGCAAAATTCACCAAATAAACCTCTCTGCAACGACTCGTAAAGTAGAGGGTAGCTATAAAAACTATAAGTAGTAAACATAAAATATACGTAGAAAGATTGAAATTGAGGAGGTTCTGCCACAGTGGCAATATGTCTTTGATAGAAAGTGTTGAAAGATGAAGTGATACAAGTCCTACAAGTGGTATGAGCAAGAGGTACATGGCATTGGTGATCAAATAATGGTATCCAAGCTTCACAGCTTTGAGGTTGGTTGTGTTCTCAGGTGAATCTTTAACTGAAACAGGCTTATTAGTTGGAGGGGGGTTAGGCTTCTTGTCATACTCCATTATGCCTGGCTTCTTAGTTGAAGATTTTGGATCAAGCTATTGTTTGTGGTGATCATATCAAAATTTGAGAGATATATATAGAGAAACTCCACAAGCACAAATGAGGGAAGCAAATGAAGTAAAATCTAATGGATGGCTGAGATGTTGCGACACCTACCACATTTGATGTAGTACTTGACATTTAATAATTAAATAATGTTAAACCGATCAAAAAATAAGATTAAAATAAATAAATAAATGACGAGACACTGAAATAATAAAACTTTTGGTCCCCTTTTTATTCCTTTAACTTTCAAATTTACTATTTTTTGGACCCTTAATAATTAATAGATAGACGCAAATCCAATTTTTCACCAAAATTCCAATCATAACTAAACTGTAAACTATAGGAATTTAACGAGGATTAATTGCAATTTGGCCCTTCTAACTATACCTACTATGGGGTATAAACGACAAAATCTTTAATGACCAAACTTATTTCGTCACCTAAAGATCCTTATAGTGACAAATAAAAAATTGTAGTTGAAGTAAAAATTTTAGCGGGGAAAATTAAATTTCTCGGTGAAAATGGGATGTTAATGACTAAATATATTTTATCAAGTNGCTATACCTACTATGGGGTATAAACGACAAAATCTTTAATGACCAAACTTATTTCGTCACCTAAAGATCCTGATAGTGACAAATAAAAAATTGTAGTTGAAGTAAAAATTTTAGCGAGGAAAAATTAAATTTCTCGGTGAAAATGGGATGTTAATGACTAAATATATTTTATCAAGTAAAGAATCTTATAGTGGAGGTCACGGATTTAACTCATGGAAATAATCTTTTTACTTATAAGAATAAGATTGCATATATCTAACTCTCCACAAATTCCGTAATAATGAGAGTCTTGTGTACTAGACACATCTTTTTTTTTTAAATAGTGAGATAAACCATAAAGTTATCTTAAATAAAAGTGTTGATATAATTATGGTAGCAAAAATGAGTTCCTTGCCAAGCTTANAGTCTTGTGTACTAGACACATCTTTTTTTTTAAATAGTGAGATAAACCATAAAGTTATGTTAAATAAAAGTGTTGATATAATTATGGTAGCAAAAATGAGTTCCTTGCCAAGCTTACACGTACACAAATTATATGCATAGTCACAACCTCTCCATTCAATGCCACTTATTACTTTTATTTGTTTGCTTCTTCATTCTTGGTAGTTCTAGGTCAACACTGGCGGATTTACATGGGGGCAGTTGCCCAGCCCCCAGTGCAATTTTAAATTTTTTGTTTTGGTATTTTTGAATTGTTTATAAATGTATAATTTTTTTCTACTTCTATATATCAATAATAATTTTTGGTCTAAGAATTTAAACCAATTTACTGACTTAATAATGTGCTAAATGGTGTGGTTTCAAAAAAATAAATCTAAGATTTTTAATTAAATAATATTATTTTAATTTTTTCACTATCACATCATTAGGTCAACAATATCGGATAGGTTTTTAAATCTCAATAACACTATTCCTTATTAGTAAAAAATTGAATTCATTTAGGAATTAAAAAATTAGACTTACGCTTCTTTCAAACGATCTAGTGTCATCTTTTTTATCTCCAAATCTCTCTTTTCAAGGTGGAACAACCTTTGGACTAATATTTATCCTTAATAAAAATGTAAAAAGATGTACATGAGTGTTATGATTTTATTTGATCTTTCTTATCTTAAAAATTTTGTTAAGTTCATTCCGGCGTATGGAATTGCTAGTTCAGTGTTTAATCTGTTCATAAGTTAGTGGATATACCGTTTGATGTTTATATTATTTTCTATTGAATTAAGTTCATTCGGGCGTATGGAGTTGTTGGTTTTTTGAATCTATCTTAATTTTCGATGTTGCAAATAGGTCGAAGGACTGAATCGATGTTTTTGGTGTTATTTGACGGATCNGTTGCAAATAGGTCGAAGGACTGAATCGATGTTTTTGGTGTTATTTGACGGATCGACTTTGGCATCTCCTTTATTTTGACATTATCTTCTACTTTAGCATGTTATGTTGATTCCGACTAGGCTCGGTGTCCTCATAGAAGATGCTCCACTATGAGTCATTTCATATTTCTTGGAGCTTATCCTATTTCTTGCTTTTAACCATTACTTCCATTTTTTGTGGATTTTCAATGTTCTTTCTGCAACTAAACTTATTTGTGTTATTAACTTGGTTTTTGTTTGAAAATTTATGATGCATGAATAAAGAATTTTNTATTTCGTAGTCAAGGAAAAAGCAAGTGACTCTTTCTCAGTATAGTACCAAGACAGAATAGTTGGCTCTTTCTTCTGCTACCTCTGACCTTTTATAGATATCATATCTTCTTCAAGATCTTGGCATAGCTCCTTCTTTTCCTATTACCTTTTATGATGATAATATGGGTTCTACTCAACTTGTAGGCGAAAACGGCTGTCCCTATTTTAGATGGAGTCATCACCTATCTGTTTAAGGGCTAACAATCTGACCTTTACTTAGAGAGGGGTAGCGGTACCNCAACTTGTAGGCGAAAACGGCTGTCCCTATTTTAGATGGAGTCATCACCTATCTGTTTAAGGGCTAACAATCTGACCTTTACTTAGAGAGGGGTAGCGGTACCCCGCTCTTCCGTGCTCGTAGGTTGACTCCTCTATGCATTCCGACTAAGGTCTCATAAAAGTGCACTTCCCTTATGCATCCAGTCGCTTCACTAATGTGAATAGGTTATACAGAAGGGTGGGTTGGTTATATATTCTTATGCGCGTTCCTTCTTTAAACCTTTTGGTATGTATTGCCCCCTAACTATAAATCAAATCCACCAGATGAGAAACTCAATTCCGCACTGCTGCTTAGTCGTCGGAGTCATCCACCAAGGGATTCGTGGAATTTCTGTGGATTACGTTGGGGGAAATCTACCAAAGCTAGGCAGATAGATAGACTGCTTTCCCGCTGCTAAAGGAGAGCAAGAAACTAAATCAAATGATTGCTTTTTAACCAGCGCCCCCTTTTGGGTATGCAGGTACTAAGAGTCCTCTCATTACCAACCAACAAACATGATCTGGCTGGGTCTTGCCGGTATCAACAACGAGAAAAAAACAACAAAATGGAAACAGCAACTAACTATGGCTCTTGGCCCGGACAACGTCCTAGGCATAGAGGAGATCGGAGCAACAGGGAATGCCTAGACGACGTTTTTCTTCCTGGGCTACAGTAAGTAGATCTAGAGGTCGTTCCGCCCCTTGTCCCCAAAAATGGGTAATATTTTCTCATATAATCTTGCTCCAATCTGACCTAGCTAGCGAGCGATCCCAGTTCGCGACAGAGAACAAGACAGCAAGCGAGCGTACCTTTGTTCGCTTCTTCTCCACCAAGCACGGAAGTTTAAGGATAACTGTAGGTCGGTGGCTACCTAAGGAAACTCCGATTCGATCCGCCCCCTGGCTGGGAGGCATCTACCTCATCCCGATCACAAGGAGAGGTTCACTATGATGGGGGGTACTTTTGATTTCCCTTCCGGAAAGAATGAAATGCATAGGGGACCATCCTTTTGTTGCGGCATGCTCCTCAGATTTACGGATTCGCAGGGGGCCTCAGGCCCTACTTAGTTGACTGACAATGACGAAGGCTTGCGAAACTCAGTGGGGCCTTTTGAATGGAATCTTAAGTAGTCTATCAGTGGTGCAAAACGGCTTTATCCCTTTTCATTAGGGGAGCGAAAGGTTAGACCTTAGAAAGTCAGCGAACATTGAGTCTTCTATGTAGGTATGGCGTTCCCCCTTGACTCTCCTAACATCGAGCTGAGTGACTTCGTAACCTTTTCGTAGTAGAATGAAGGCTACGCACCGACGCTCTCTTTTCTATTAGCCTAAGCCTCTTCGCTAACTCACTCGCCTACTATACCCTACTATACAATACATTAGTAGGGTATAGTAGGCTAACTCAGCCGCTTACTTCTACTAATGTAGGGCTAATTAGCTCCTTTTCCTTTTTGAATAACCCATTCTCATTATCTTTCACAAGTGAAGTAGGCGAACCTATAGATCCTTAGTAGTGTTGACAAAGAAGAACAACCGGTTAAAAGACAGTGAATCTTTTGATTTATATCTTTCTATGATTATTATATGTAATAATAATCATAGAAAGATATCAATATTCTAGGCCAGCTTGACAAGCTACCCTTCCTCTTGATCTGAGGTGCGAAGAGAAAGATCTCTTTTTTTTGAATTCCACTTATTGATCCCGGCCCAGAAAAGTGACCGACCAGGGTCCTATTGATGAATGAAAGAAAGGGTTTTTGAGCCCTAGCCCTGTAAGCCCACACCTGTGTAGAGTAGATCGTTCAACACCTGTGGCACAAACCCATTTTTTACCTATTGGTACTAGTATCACAGGCGACCGAATGGCCGCCCCCTAATTACTAGACCGACCTGCTATAATAATTCCATAAACACCTAGCGAAGATATGGCAAACAAATAAAGTAGCCCTATGTTCGGATCTGACAATACCATACCATAATCAAAAGGTACAACGGCCCGAGCGACCAGACTTAACATAAATGTAGCCACTGGAGCCATTCTAAAAAGGGAGAAATTAGNTCAAAAGCCACTAGAGCCATTCTAAAAAGGGAGAAATTAGCACTACTTGGTGAAATAGGTCATTTTAGAATCAATTCCAAACCATCTGCTAGAGGTTGTAACAATCCAAACGATCCCACTACATCAGGACCCTTTCGACGTTGCACAAAAGCCATTACTTTACGTTCAGCTAGCACTAAAAAGGCTACTCCTAGTAGAAGTGGTAGAATTATTCCAAGTATTTCAGCTGGAACAGCTATATACATTTTCGATTTTCTATTCACTCATGATCTGGCCTGGTCGACCCGATCATGATATTTCACTCATGATCTGGCCTGGTCGACCCAATCATGATATTGAAGGATGGGACCTTTTCTCGAANACTGGAACAACTATATACATTTTTGATTTTCTATTCACTCATGATCTGGCCTGGTCGACCCGATCATGATATTTCACTCATGATCTGGCCTGGTCGACCCAATCATGATATTGAAGGATGGGACCTTTTCTCGAAAAACTCCGGATCCCGAGAAGAGTTGAAGATGGTGCAAGATCGAATCCTGTTACGTTACTTCGAATGGAATCTTAGCCCGCCTCACTTGCTTTCTTTACTGCATAAGATAAGGGCATAAGCGAAGTATTCATCTTAGCCAAAACCTCTTCTAGAGTCTATTTTTAGCAGCAAATAAGGAGGTAGTGGTTTCCCTTTCCATTTTTTGTATAACCCAAAACCTAGACCCGTTTTACGATGTATTAGTCGAACCCTTGGGATACGACGCCCTGCTCCTTGAGTATCATGGGATTGAATACCCCAACCCCCCTTTAGATTAGTAGGGGGCTCCCGAGAAAGCTATTTCAGCCTACCGAGCAGTTAAGGGCAATTCCTACGTCCCTCATCGGTCNATAACCCAAAACCTAGACCCATTTTACGATGTATTAGTCGAACCCTTGGGATACGACGCCCTGCTCCTTGAGTATCATGGGATTGAATACCCCAACCCCCCTTTAGATTAGTAGGGGGCTCCCGAGAAAGCTATTTCAGCCTACCGAGCAGTTAAGGGCAATTCCTACGTCCCTCATCGGTTTGAATCCCCACCCCTTAAAGTGGTAAAGAAGGGTGGCAGTTTACAATCCTGTTTAAGCTGTTTGAACTAAAGCCAGTCAACTTGACAAAGAATATCCTGAGCAGTTACGGCAATTCACTCTTGGAGTTATAACAGTGGTTGTTATTTTCTTCCTTTTTTCCGAAGCCTGTAAACCGGCTAAGACACACTTTCATTGGGACCGTACCACTTTTCGTGATTAGGAAATTCCTTCTTGATTGAATCTTTAGTAATAGCTCTCCGAAGAATCTCTTGACAAGTAAATAAAAGAACTCATCCCATCAGTGCCTTCTTGTGAGTGCTAGTCAGCTACCATCCTTGATATAGGTTGTTCTCCTGTGCTCCTGTAAGAAGTCCTTCCTATACCTGATGCGCTTTTTCTCCTTTTGAGTTAATGCAATGCAAAGACCCAATTCGCCCGGGCTGGGATGGCTTCCGACCTAAGCGGGGTTGCACCGTAGGGACCCGTAGTCTCCAGAGTCTTAGTCTGCAGGCAGAGCATTAACTAAAATCATCATCCCANAGCTAGGATGGCTTCCGACCTAAGCGGGGTTGCACCATAGGGACCCGTAGTCTCTAGAGTCTTAGTCTGCAGGCAGAGCATTAACTAAAATCATCATCCCAACGTCAAAAGGCCTTCAATCCAGTAGTATACTTCTAGGTGTCCAGTCTTTGAAACCAGACCGCAGTTAAAAGCCCGTCAACTAGCTAGCGTACCATACCACTTAGAAAGACGGTGACGAAAGTTGTCACAAATCAACCCTACTTTCCTAGATCGGTCCCACTTTGCNTACAGTTAAAAGCCCATCAACTAGCTAGCGTATCGTACCACTTAGAAAGACGGTGACGAAAGTTGTCACAAATCAACCCTACTTTCCTAGATCGGTCCCACTTTGCTTCTTTGAGACCGTTTGCACCACTGTCAAAGGAGACCGCACGCGCTCACAGATTCTCTATGCATAAAGAAGTTATTAGTGAAGTCTGGTCTAATAGTTGAAGTTCTTGTTAACTAACAATCACTGTAAATGTTCCTCTTGTTAGGATTGACATTAAGTTATCTAACCTTTTGTATGCATGGCAACTTTTGTTGGAATGTTGCTTTCCCCCTTACTTATACCAAAGGATACCCCCTTTAGAATTTCTAATAGATAGAAGCAGATATAGTTAACCGAAGGAGTTGAGGGATTCTTGCTTTAATCCGTCCCGCTATTCCTAACTTAGGAAGGAATATAGTAAGGGACGACTGCTTATCCATAATCTTTTATGAGTGAAACAATGAGCTCTATGACTCTTTTTATTTTAGCCAAAGGCCTTTTGACTGTTATAGTCTCTCGCTTGGACTCTTCTCACGAATTGGATTTGAACCAATATCAAGCTACTTTCCTTTTAGTAGATCGTGAGTGGGTCTGTCGTCCTCCTCATTATAGTCCTCCTAGAATCAATAGCATTTCGTCGGAATACATCCTGTCTTTTCACCTTAGTAGTCCCTAAAATACCAACTATCACGCAGCTTTAAACTGCCCTTCTCATTATCCCGCCTTCAAAACAGAAGAAAGAGAGAGAGAGAGCATACTCTTTTTTCGCCTTTTGAATCCGTGTATTGTAATTGTAATTGTAATTGTAATTGTATAAGGCGTACTTTCACGAATATTTCTTTCAAATTGTGTGAAATATGTATCTAAGGTCCTTTCCNATTTTGAATCCATGTATTGTATAAGGCATATTTTCACGAATATTTCCTTCAAATTGTGTGAAATATGTATCTAAGGTCCTTTCATTAACGGGCTCCCCGTTTGGGTAAAACATATATCCCCCTATCTTGTTTCAATTAAATAAAATGCTCTCCTGACTATATCCATCTCGACGTAGAGCGCTCTCCATCTTT